GATCCTTTCCTTATGTAAAAAAAATTCATAGAAATCGCTGGACATAAATATATTAAATATTTTTTTTAAAAAGCCAACCAAAAAATTCGCAAGAAAATCTTCCCCATTAACAATAGTTCCAAAAGTAAAAATAAAAATCTAAGAAAATATAATAATTCACCCAAAAATTACAAATTAAAGTTATAATATTTTTTTTGTATGTCCAAGACTGTTACAGTTATTTTGCTAGTAATTCACCAAATAGATTCGAGTTAATATTACTCACTTAGTATTATTTATATAATTATATATATATTTTTATATATATTATTATTAATATATATATATTTTATATTATATTATATATATTATATTTTATTATTATTATTATTTTAATGGCATTTTTCTATTATTTTTCTAGTTTGTTTTTATTTGGTGTAATGGTATTTTCTAAAATTATTTCTAGAAATGTGGTATTATGGTATTTTTCAGGTATTTTTCTAGTATTATTTTTCTATTCTTTTGGTTTTTTTACAGCAACAGTAAATCACAAAATTGAATTTCTACATTATGGTGTATTTCCCTAAGGATCCCTTCAGGGTATTCCACATTCACGACCTCTCGATAGCCAGCTTTTCTTTCTTCTTTTTGTCCTTTCTTGTGTATGTGTATGCAAAGCGGCCATAAAATTTGCAAAAACTTTTAATGGTTCATAAAATATTTAACGTAATGGCGGCAAACGGGCAAAACCGGTTAAAGAGGCGAAAAGACCAAGAGGTCAGAAGGCTATGAAGACCGAGCCCTACAGGCTACAGGCTCCAGGCCCCCAGACCCCCAGACCTCAGACTCTGACCAAGTGGCAGGGCACCGGAAAAGGAGTGGAGGACGACCAAAAAGAGATTTGTTGGCTGCCAACAGGCCGCAAACGATGCAGCAGCAACAGCAACAAAAGCACTGCACATGCCACTTGCCACAGCCTGTGTCTGTGACGCTCACTCTCCGCTCCGCCCCACCCCTCACCGCTCTCTGATCTCTGGTCTGCTGCAATTTATTTAAACCACTTTTCCACTTGTTGTTTTTCCATTGCTCGCTCGTTTTCTCGTTTTTCCTCCACTCCTCGTATTTGTTTTTTCTCCTTTTTTTTTTTTTTGAGTGGTGGAGGGGGGCTATGTGGCGCTGTCCTCCCCACATAATTGCAAATTATCGCTTCAGCCATCGCTGTGGCAGCGTGGCCATTTTTGGAGCGGATTTATGTGCGAGTGCGGTGCCCTCAGGTGTCGCATCCTCTAAATTAATGCCATGTGCATGTTTTAATTGCAATTGCAAGCCGTGGGTGGGTGGGTTCGTTTGTTCCGTCTGTCCCTGTCTGACCCATCCATTCACGGGCAAGTCCAATAAATTGTTCTTCCACCCTGCAATCCCCTCTTGGGGATTCCATAATTCGCTGGGGCAGGCTGTTGAAATGTCGAATTCGATTATCAGCTGTGTATATGACAGGATATTGGAGGGGGCGGCGACACAGCAGACCGTAGAGCGAGAGGGAGGCTGGCAGTCGCCGGCGCCATCAATTTATGGAATGGTTAATGGAATCACAAAAGCGTTGATGGGCACAGCACCTCCATCCAAGAGTTGCGAGAATTGATCTAGCGATTGGGTTTTCTTTCGAGCTAAAGTAGAGAAAGAGTTGAAAAAAATGGATTCTCGAGCGGAGAGGGTGATTAGCTCTAAGTCTGATCGAAAGGGGGCGCAGCTTTAAATTTTAGAGGAGAACCAACACAAGAAAATATATTTCTTGGTAGAAATCTTTCATGGCAGATATCTTTTTGGTTCTATCTTTCAAGCATCTTTCAAGCACTTTCTGTGCCTTACAACTTAAAGATATTTTTGTTTTTTTGTATAATATTAGAAGAGGATATCCTTTTCCCCTATGCGAGATTTATTTATTGTATTTAAACTATTATTCTGGTTTTTTTTTTAAGAAATTTGTTTTTTTTTTTTTCAATTTTAGAACAGGATATATTTTTACCCTATGAAGCTATGAGAGATTTATTTATAGTATTTCTGCTATTATTCAGTTTTATTTGGCGCTATTTTTTCTAGTATTTTCCATTATTTGTTTAAGTAATCCACGCAAATAGATTAAATAAATTCAATTTCTAGATTTCTAGCATTTATTTTCTAGTATTTTTGTTTAGCAAGTCTAGTATAATTTTGCTAGTATTTTTGGTATTTATCTGGTATCTGGTTATCTGGTATCTTTTTTTTTTTCTAGCATTTTTTCTTGATTTCTAGCATTTATTTTCCAGTATTTTTATTTAGCAAGTCTAGTATAATTTTGCTAGTATTTCTAGTATTTATCTGGTATCTGGTTATCTGGTATCTTTTTTTTTCTAGCATTTTTTCTTGATTTCTAGCATTTATTTTCCAGTATTTTTATTTAGCAAGTCTAGTATAATTTTGCTAGTATTTCTAGTATTTATTTTTTATCTGGTTATCTGGTATCTTTTTTTTTTATTTCTAGCATTTTTTTCTTGATTTCTAGCATTTATTTTCCAGTATTTTTATTTAGCAAGTCTAGTATAATTTTGTTAGTATTTTTGGTATTTATCTGGTATCTGGTTATCTGGTATCTGGTATTTTTCTGGTATATATTTATATAGTTATAGTTCTTCTCAGTAAACTCAAATAAAGACTCAATTCCGTTGACTTTGCCCAGCACTTGTTTCAACATACCCAAAAAAAATTAATGCGATGAGTGATCTCCTTCTACCCCCCACCCTATAAGCGTCACACACACATACACACAGCCAGAGAGAGCAGCCCACATCGCCCACATTTATAATATAGTAATTACCGCCTTGAGTTGCAGCACAGCACACAGCATAGCCTATAATCTTGTGGCAGCCAACACGAACAGAAGGCGGTGGAGGATGTCACATTTTGCCGCGCATCGTCTTGCGGCCGGAAGTGGTGCTGAACCGACAACGGCCGGAAACGGAAATGCGCAAATGTCAAGGCAGCAAATGCAAATGAATATGAAAATGGAAAATTGTTCCCCAAGCGGCGTTTATCCAAAAGAAAAAGCGGCTCAAAACATTCGAACACAGACAAAGAAGTTGGAATTAAAGGAGGGGGGGAAAGCACGTGACGTGTGACAGGCAATGATTAGAGGGTAGCAGCCAACCCACACACAAAGATGGAAAAATAAAAATTATGTGCTGCAATTGTCAATTGATTTCGAGTCAAAGGAATTTCTACTTTCTTTTTCCCGAAAACTTTCTCTCTTTCGCGTCCTCTACTTTCCTTTACGCCTCCGTGCTTTCGCTCTCTTTGTGTGTGTGCGTGTGGGCGTGGCTTTCCGCTCTCACGAAAAGTGAAAACTCCAATGAAAAAAAAAACATTTGCATGCAAATGCAAAACATAGTCAAAGGCAACGTTCCGTTCCCATTCCCATTCGCATTCGCATTCCCCTTCCAATTGCCAGTTTTTGATGCTCCCAAGCATCACGTACGCGGGCTTCAAACGGAAGTGGCAGCAGCGCCAGTGGGCTGGATGGATGGAGGGAGCGTGTGGAGGGAGCGTGTGCCTCTGTGCCTGTGTGCCTGCCTCTCCTTTTAATTTTAATGCGTGCAACACGCTTCAAAAAATTAAACGTCGGTTTACTTTACCGCCTTTCCGCCTCCTCCTCCACGAAAGTTCCTCTCATTTTTTGTGCAGGAAAACTTTTTGAAGCAGACAGAATATTCGCTTGATGGTGGGTTTTCCTTTTCTTTTTTTTCTTCTTTTTTTTTCTTTTTTTTCTGTTCGTTTTTTGTGCTCTCGTTTTTGGTCCAAACAAATAGGCGTCGATTAGGCAAATCAACGCATTTGTATGCAGATTATGTGCTGCTTGCTGCTTGCTGCTGCTGCTGCTGAAGGAAAACACAGCCAGAGATGGACAGGAAAATAAGGGGGGAGAGTGACTAGCCAGCGGATAGAAGTGGGGGTAGACACATGGCATGGGGGGGTGCGGACTCTCTATGGTTTTTGTCTCTAATTACGACTCAGTCTTTTAGGCGCTCAATTATGCGTATGCGTGATAAAAACACAGCAAGCATTTAAGAGGGGAAAAACCTTCTACTTTAAGCAGATAAAAGACGAGAAGAACCAATATGGGAAGACATTATTTCTGTGGGTTTTTTTTTTCAGCATATAAATATGGAAAAGAAATGCTGAAATGTAAGAATTTATATTTATTTATTTATACAATACAAATAAAATGTCCAAGCTTAATGTAGTTATGGATAAAGAAACTACTTATTTCGGCTTATTACAAAATGTTTACAAAAAATGTGAGTTACTATATTTTAAGTTGATGTCAAAGCAAAACATTTTAAAAATCTTTGAAGTCTATCAAAAGCTGAAGGCAAAAATGTGACAAAACTTTGATATAAAAAGTGCTGCCCATAGTCGAACAATTAAGTCCTTAAGAAGCTTGTGTTCATCTCAAACGTAGCTCAAGCCAAGAACTCCTTAAGAAGCTATAGTTTATCTCAAACATATCTCAAGCCATGGAATAAATTCTGTTTTCGGCTTGTGGAAGTTATCAAGACTTTACTTCCTATAAAAGAATATTAGCAACAATGAGAATGAGTGTCTAAGCCATTTAATGTTAATTTATGTTCAATAAAAAGAACATAAATAATTTTAGTATATATGTATATATTTTAATATATCCATAAAAGTAGAAGCTGCCTTTTTTGGATGTCTGCTCCAACCTTTATCGAGCTTATAACTCGTCATTAAAATCTAAAAATCTTTATAAATTTAATATTTAATATTTTTGTATTATTTTGTAAACCAAAAACTGGAGACAAAGACTCAGACTGTCTGGCAAAAAATATGAAGTTCAAGCACAAAGAACAACGTCAGAAATTATGTCATAAAACCTAACCTAACCCTAACCCTTTAAAATAAAGGTTTGCTTTCCCTCAATTCAATACCAAAAAACAACTGCTCAAATTTAAGCCGAAAACCCACAAAAAATAAAAAATAGCTCACACTTAAGTCCAATATCTTGTGACATCTGTTAAAGCAGCCGCAATTCGTGGCAGGAAATTCAAAGCACAAATTTGTAAGTAGGAACAGGCACACACACTTATCGCAGGCTACATTCTAAGCTGCCCCTCCCCTCCCTCGCTATATCCTTGCCACGCCTTCACATCAAACAGCGAAGCGATTGTCTGTCTCCATTTCGCCGTATCTCTTGCACGGGAGCGAAACATTGTCATGTATCATTACCATTTCAATTCACTTGACTTCCTTCAGCACCACAGCCCCCCCAGCCAGCCAGCCAGCCAGCCAGCCAGTTCCACGTATTCCTTTCCTTTCCATCAACTTATTCCTGCCGCATGCCTCGTGTAATTTCCTGCCACTCTGACTACCGTTTTTGGTGTTGGTTTCCTCGTGTGCCGCGTGCGTCGTGTCGCGCTTTAAACAACAAAGATCTTGTGCTAATTTCAAGCGATTGCTTTGCAACATTTCAAACACCACATGCCACTAAAGTACCCCCTGCCACTGTCCCTGCCACTGCCACTGGCCCTGTGCCTACGCCTGTCCCTGCCACTGTCCCTGCCACTGTCCCTGCCACTGTCCCTGTTCCTAGCCATAGCCCTAGCCCTATCCCTAGTCCTCTCCCGTTCCCAGCCTCCTGCCACAATCAATACGAATACGCGTACAACGTTTGTGTTTTGGCGTTGTGTTTTGGCGTTGTCTGTCCCTTGCCGCGTGTTGAATTTCAATGCATACTTTCAGGCCGTACATCAAAAAAATATTTGTTTGCCATTTCACATATCAGAAGGACGTCGGCGAAAGCGTTTCGACTTCGGCTTTACGGCGTGGGTGTTTGCGTGTTGAATACCCAGCATTTAGATAGCACTTAGCGGGGTGTGTTTGTTGTCTGGAAGAACTGCAAGATTTTATGCTTCAGACTGTGCCAGCTAGCGCTAAGTACTTTCTTTCTGTACATATGGGTTCCCAAATTCGACCTTTACATTTTCATACATTGTGGAAATAATAATAATATTAAATTTTAGAATTGTATCGGAAATTCAAATAAAAAAAAAAATACATTTTTTGGCACTCAAAATTCTGTCGTTGAGTTTGTTTAGATATGGAAAAAAATCACGCTTACTTTTATAGTTTTTTAATTCTATTTTTTTAATTAATTTTTTTTGTAATATTTTTTTTTTAATATTTTATTTAATAGATTTTTTTAATAGTTTTTTATAACAGTTTTCCTTTGTTAGTTCAGATTTTATTGCTCAGCGATCCTCAAATTATCCTCAAAGTATAATCTCAAAACGAGGGCATCTTCTAGTCGCAACGTTTCGCAATTAATTGATATCTCTTTTACTTTTTATTGTTGTTGTTGTTGTTGTTTTTGTTGTTTTTGCTATATTTCCCTAGGACTCCGCTGACTGCAGGAGTCACATGCGTTGGGCATTTGACGCCGCCAAAGGGAAAGAGCAAACAGAAAAAAACAAAAAAAAAAAAAAGTAAACCGCTGACGATGACGAGTTTTGTTGTTGTTGTTGTTGTTGTTGCGCGATTTCTTGGCATCTTCTTTGGGGCGATTGCCTGTTGTTGTTGTTGTTGTTGTTGCTGTTGTTGGGCCCTGTTTTATACCACTTGCAAGTGGATTTATTTTACAATGCCCCAACGGAATTTTAATGGATCCGATACCGCTCTCCCGCTCCCGCTCTCTCGCTCACCGAACGTGTCTTGTCCTCTTGTTGGGAAGGCAAATGGCCCAAAGACTTTGGCGCCTGCTTAAAATTTCACTCATGTGGCGACGCTGGCGCATTCCCAGACCCCCTCCCCACCCCCCTATCCTATATGGCAGGGGAGTGGGGGGGGGGGGGCACTGACATGCTGTATGGCTCGGCTTTCGCTTGTTGGGGTCACCATTTTACAGTTAGGGTCGTGTTTGTTTTTGGTAATTCGCTCGCTGCGAGGCTCCGGCTACAGCTACAGCTACCGCTCCGTCTCTGGCTCCGTCCCTTCCTACTGGTCCTTCGTTTTATGTACATTTCGCTTGGGCCGTTGCGCGCATAAAATGCGAAATTTAATTAGTCGTGTAGGTAAAAATTACATTTAAAATTATTTTTCCCTCGTTGACAATAACAACAACAACAGCAGCAGCAGCAAAAGGAGCAGCAAGAAGCAGCGGCGGAAACAGCACCGAAAGCAGAGACAAAAAAAAAAAAAAAAAGAAGCAGCGGCAGAGGCCGAAAAAAAAAGGAGGAGGGACAGCAGGGGCAGCAGTGGGCCGCGGAGGAGAAACAGGAGAACCAACAACAAGCCACAAGAAGCATTTCCAAACACCCAACATGGAAGCTACACTCAGAGAAAGTACGTACACTACATTAAATAAAATTAAAACAAATAAATGAAATAAATTAAATAAATTTTAATTTAAATAAAATAATTTCACAATTTTGGTAGCTAAAGCCCGAATATTTAATTTAAATATGAATGAGTTTCCATTTGCCACTGGCCATATGCATATGTATGTATCTTTGAGTGTATGCATGTGAAGAAAGTTGCATAAAAAGGGGGTTTGGAATAATACCACAAGTGTATTTTGGTGTATTTTCAGTAGATTTCAAATAAATTCAACAGGTGTAGATTCCAACAAATGCGTACATACTACATACTCGTACATACATATATATATATTTATATATACTGTATCAGACATCCTATATGTGGTGGTACATACTCGTAAATATATTTTTATAAATTATTTTTTACATCCCCTTTTTTTTCTTAAATTTTAATCATAGTTTATATTATCAGATTTAGCAACTACCTTCAATAAATAAATAAAAAATATATATAATTAGTATGTACCATTTCGAACCTGTATCACCTGTATCCTGTTTGTGGTGGCAATCCATTCTCAGCCAAAAGGGCCAACTGGTTTAAGCAGCAGTCAAGATCACACAGAACAAGTGCCAAGTTCTGACAGACCGGTTTTTCCTTTCGCTTGCAGTTAGTTAATTTTATACCCTAACCCTATGCTAACCTTTGAAATTTATGACCAAATAACACTGTCTATAGTTTCGAGTACTTTCTTAGGAATTTTTCGCTATGATTTTCAACTCAATTTTAACCGAAAAAAAACAAGCTAAAATTCCAGGAAAAATTCCAGCAACAATTTTCTATTTATGTCAATTTTTATTTAATTTAATTTAAGAGTACACAGAGTATTTAATTTTAATTGTCTGCTGGCATTAATTTGGCTTCGATTCCAGTATATGGATATCCAGTCAAGGGCCATGCTTGGCCATTTCAGTGTTGGCTTTCACGGCGACAAGTTCTGAGCAAAATGCACATCACATTCGAGATCTTGAGCTTTTTGTTGCTGCCCATCTTGCTGGCCAGCGGCGAAATGCAGTGGGATTGTGACTACAGCCAGGCGATTCATCCCGGAGAATCCTACTATTTTAGAAACCCCAATTGGCCCAACAATTACCCAAGCGGCTCCAGTTGCCGGCTGAAAGCAACAACCGCTTGGGCCAGCAATAAGTTGGAGATCAAGTGCAACATGGACATACCAAAGGATGTAAGTGTGCGCCTCAGACAACATGCAAATTTCACTGTTTATTAGCTTTAATTTGATTCTGTTTTTAGAAAAAGGGATGCATCAATCATCGCATCGTTGTGAGCACGTACGTGGATGAAGTGGAAAGCCCCAGAAGCACGCAAGTTTATTGTGGAAAAAAAGAATTCACCAAATCAATTATCCAACCGCAAAAATATTCAAGAATTTATGCCGAATTCACTTCGAATGGTAATAAAACGGGACGCTTTTCGTGCACACTCTCGAATAAGGGACCGCAATCATGATAAAATCATAATACAAGTATAATAAAATATATACAAAAAAAATTGTATTTTTGGATGAACACATTTTAGATATTAAATAATAAAATAATAATAATAAAATACAAATATAATAAAATATATACAAAAAATTGTATTTTTGAATGAAAAAATTTTAGCCATTAAATAATAAAATCTTCTTAGTTTTGTGTGGAAATTTAACCACTTATTATTTTCATTATAATTATTATGACACATCAATTCTATCGATTTGAAATTTTCGGCGCTGGGCATACAAATTTAATATTCTAAAACATAAACAAAATGCAAATCGATCAGAGCGATAAATATATACTCTATTTATCTGCCAGAGGAATTGTCGTCTAAAAATTGTATTTTTCAGCTCGAGCTCTGCAGTTAAGTTTAGTCGAATTGGTCTATCAATTTTCAGTTACCTTTGCCTGAGACCATTCAAATTACACTTGTATAAATATTGTCCAACCCCAATGGTCCATGCAACTACTTTGTTGGAGTATTTTTATTGCATTAAAATTCATACATTATATTTATTAAGCATTTGTTTTATTTTTACCGTCGATTAATTTATATTTCTTTGATTCAAAAAATAATTATTGAAATGCACCAACAAAAAACTACGATTATTTATGGCAAATTGCGCACACAAAAAAACGCTGAAGTATTTATTTAATTTTTGCTTATTTCTCCGTTTTTTTTGTTGTGTTAATTTTGTTGGTTGTTTGGAGTAATACTGTTGTGTGTGTGTGTATGTGACCCCCGCAGGCTCTCTGGCACCACCCTCACGCCCAAACCGAACGAGCGAACCTCACTCAACCCCCACTGGCTTATCCGCACTCAAACCCATGCCCACACTCACACTCATACTCATTCGTACTCATCCACATCCACATGCCAGCCAACATTCACATTCACATGTAGTTAAGCTTCACCTAAATACATTTTTGCTAGAATAAACAAGCAACCTTGGGTGTTTACCATAAAAAGTAGGTAAACTTGAGTGCAAAAATTGCGTAGCAAATGCGGATGTGTGCCCCACACACACACACACACACACACACACACACACGCACATGCATATACACACACACATACAAAATGCACATAAAAATGTGAAAACGAACAACATTAACAAGGACCATAAGAGAGGGTTTCTTTTTTTTTGGTTGGTAAATTTGTGGCAGAGGGTTTGTGTCGGTGTGTGGGTGTGTGGGTGGTTTTTGGTGCAGGGTTTTTGCTGGGAAGCTGGAAACAAGTTCTGAGTTCTGACTGAATGGAAGCGAAATAAAAATAACAAGCAACAAGCAGCAGCAGCAACAGAAGAAAACGCCAAATGAACAGAGAAGAGAAGAACCTCTAAAATAGCGAAACCAAAAAAAAAAGAGAAGACGGATAACTGAACTATAAAACACCCATTATTCGGGTATTCCTATAAATGGAAAATTTTAATTAAAAAATAGTCTAAAATACTAATAAAAGTATCTAAAAGTAAGTGCAAGCGATGCATACATAAAAAATAAAAATAAACATTTGGAAAACTAAATTATTCGTAGAAATAAATAATATATATGTATATAATATAATATATAATCTAATATGATATAATAAATAATATACTTAAAAAACAAAACAAAAATAAATGGAAAAAAATATTTAAAAAAAAATAAAAAAATTAAGAAACTAAAGAAGTAATAGTGCCAAGTTCCAGAAATACCAACAAAATGTTACAAAAAAATACCAGATAAATTAAAAGAAATAATAGCAGAAATATTCTAGAAACTAAAAGAAAATGAAGAACGATCAAGGATCCCCCCCTGCACCTTCCTCAAAACAAGCACAGGGTATGCAAAAACTAAAGGGCTGTCGCGGGCGCAAAAAGTAAGAGGCTGCTCCTCTCAGGTTATGCCCATAGTGTGAGATAAGAGGGGCGTAGGCGGCAAGGCGCAGGCCATAGATAGGGAAAAGGGGTCGCCTCCACTCCACTCGTCTCGTCTCGCCTCGGTTCGTTTCGGTTCTGACGTCGAACACATTACAAGCAAAAGCACTTTTGACAAAAGGAGGCGCCAGCAAAAAACAAACAAACAAATGGCAAAAGAAACAAAAGACAGAAAAAACAGACAGACGGACAAACAAACAGTAATAAGGAAGGAAAGAGACAGCGACAGACAGAGACAGAGACAGAGACACTAGATAGGCTCATTCATGTGCGTGTAAAGGATTTCAAGGACTACAACATTAAGCAGAAATAAGAGCAAAATAAAAGAAAAGAAAAGGAAAAGTATGGCAAGAATTTGGTGCATGAACAATGGGAAAAAAACCAGAAAAAAAAAAGAAAGCCCAGAAGAAAACCAAAACACAAACACACAGAGAACATCAACAGCATTGAAGAGGTTGTCTTTGCGAGAGTGGGGGAGGGAGCGCGCCTCCCAACGGATATGAAGTACGAATAAATGCACTGCAAAAAAAAACTATAAATGAAATACTGATAAAATATAGGGACCATTTCCCCATTATATACAGTTCAAAAAACCATTTTCCATCTTTTACTGCTAAGCCACACTGGAAAAGGGAGCGAGATAGAGCGCTCAGCCAGGCTGGATCTCATTCTAGTTTTTAAAATTAGCCGATCGCAACTCCTAGTAGAAATTTAAAATACATTTTAAATATTTAAAGCCCATTGTTTTCAGTGTATACTCCCCACACGCCCCATGCGGATGTCATTAAGGTGTGTGCGTGTGCGTGTGGGTATGCGTGTGTGTGTGTGGTAGTCGTAGTGGCAGTGGAACTGCAAGTGCGAGAGCATGGAAATGAACTGTAAGCACAACTGCAGCCTGAAAATGGCCAAGTGGAATGGCCAAGGAGAAAGTGCCAAAGAGCATTGCAGTGGGACGAGAATTGTGGGTGGTCGGTCTGGTGCTGGGAAAGCAGAGCAAGGTTTCCCCCCAGAGAGCTTGTGCAATTCCGAGAGGACGGCAGCAATAAGGACCGGTAAAGAAACCAATTTGCCAGAGAGAAAGCAGCCAGGATAGGGTAAGGGTAAGGACAGGGGATGGGCATGGGGAAGAGATGTTAAACAACATTGCAGCTTTAATTCGACAACATCCAGAACAACAATCAGAGGGTCATTCGAGAGTAGCGTAGCAGAGGAAGGAGGGAAAAATGAAAAGTAAACCGAAACACGAATTAACACAGAGGCGATGAAGAGGTGGCAGAGAGAGAGAGAGAGAGAGACAGACAAATACACAGAACAAAAGTATGAAAGAAATATTACAAAAGGAAATGAGTTTCACGAGAGTGAAAGCAAAGGAAATGATACGGAAAAGTGCAATATGCGTTTTTCTTTTGAAAAATATTTGAAATTTATCGAAATTCTTACAAAATTGCATACGATAAGCCACAGTGGGAGAGAACTCTAGGAAGCTCCGCTAAAATTAAATTTTTCATTGATCAATCCATTGTTAAGGATAATAAGAGGTTCAAAGGTTGTGGCTTTTATATATTTCTGCAATTTGCTTCATTTATATTTAATCTCTAAAAGGTAAGAGGGTTTCCGAAGTGGAGATCGATTTTATCATCTATATCCGAGATCTGGCTAAAGCAATCAAAGAGCCCGTGAAGCGTAGAATCTAAAGAGCAGGAAAATCATAGAATATCTTCAAAGCAACCCAATGACAGGGGTTCACAGATGCACCCACCGATGTGAGCGTCTCCAGCGAGGGCGAAAAAAATGGAATCTTAATGGTGAGCACTTTTTGAGCACGAGACAGCATCAGGAGAGCCATTCTCTGCACGCGTACACTGTGTCCATACCAGTGACTGGCAAAGGTAGAGCGCGCCAGATCCGAGCACTAAATAGAAAATATAAGAAATTTTACTTTGAAAAAGGTTTTGTTCTGAGCAAAAAAAAATAAAACAATAAGCACCGCTTCCATGATGTGTGTTCCGCCCAGGCAATACAAAAAGATTTCGGTGCCCACAGCCCAGGTGTATACCAAATAAACGACGATGCCAACGCCTGAAAACTACAAGAAAAAAAAACAAAAATATAACAAAAAAAATATGCACCGATGATCCATATACATAGAATATCAAACTGCCAACCCACCAGCAGCATATCCACCACACTGGTGCCTATAATAAGACTAGAGGTTACAAAGTGTCCCAGGGTGATCTCCACCATGACACCCGACACTCGCTGCGTGAGTTCTGCTATCTCATTGTGCCGATCCACCAGCTTCTCCATTTCACGCACAATACGTGCCTCAGTCTCTTCGGTGGGGGTGTCTTCTATGCTGGCCACCTCCAGCAAATCGTTGACATCGTCGCGCAGGGAGAACAGCAGCACCGTCAGATATAAACAGAAACCAAGAAATAAACCATCGGCTCCTGTAAAGCAAGCAACAGTGATGTAGCCATGCCAATGAACGATCATGTAGGTGAGGGGGTAGAGCGGCAAACGGAGCAGAGGAGCTGGCAGTCTACAAGGAAGAAAAACTCTGAAAATTAGCTAAATTACAACAAATCTGGCAAGCCACAACAGCAAACAAAAAGAGTGTGAGCAGCGAATAGAAAATAAACTCTTAAAACTGCGCAGAAATGAGCTTAATTGCTCTCATAGAAATACACGCATGTTCATGTAAGTACTTATGCATGTGTGTATGCAGCCAAAGAGCATACTTAATGTGGCTCTTCTCTGCCCTGCACTATGGGAACTTTGACCACTTTTTGTGGCAATAATTAATAACTTCCAAACGAAACAATATTTTTTGGTTTAGTTTTTTGATATGAGTTTATAATAGAAAAATGAAGGTATTTTGAAAAAATGGGCGTGGCAACTCCTTTTTTTATAAAGAAATCTCATTTTTATTTTTTTGCTCAAAAAATAAAAAAACAAAAATTTTGGGAACATGTTGAGAACATCTTATTTTATTCAAGAGGGCGTGGCACGCCTTAAAAACAATTTAAAAAAAATGAAAATTATTATTTCTGGTATCTTTTTCACAAAAATTTTAATCAGAAGACCTGAAATATGAAAGAAACACAAATTTATTGTAAATAATAGGTTTCCTTTCACACCTTTTGTTAATCCTCATGGAGTTTGTTTTTGAGCCCCATCATCCACGAGAATTCGAATTGATCTTCAGCCAGCTCATCGAAACTAATCTGCTCCAGTGGATCTCTGCCTGAACGAATGAATTCGCTTTGTAAAAGACCGAACACCTCAGTTGGAATGAGATTATTTTTGCTTTTTTATGCTCCTTTCAAGGTTAATCGATGAGATAATAGTATCTGAAGTGTGGAACACGTCCGTGAGATTTTCTTTTCGGCCTCATTTTAAATCTAAAATTTTATAAATTTTATTTCGAAACTTGGCACTCTCTTCTGCAAAATATCCCACAGGTAGAATCTTGTTTTCTTTTATATCGCTTGAATTCACTAAGATTTTGAGCACTGTAGCAGTCATTGACAACCAGGGATATCGGTCAATATCACTACTCGACAAAATCGAACTTTTCTTGGTATTTTTTGTGATGCTCTTTTCAGAGGTAGCTCTTTTATTTTGCACATTACTTAAGTATCTTACATATGGTTGCAATGAACTTTGACATTCTGAAAAGCTGATAAATGCATCTATAAAGCAGACCTGAGCACCTTGTAGCTTCAGCTTACCGTCTGGAAAATATTAAGTTTTCCAATGCAAAATTTATCGGTTTTGCTCAGAACTTTTTTCAAAATTTTGACTTTAAAAACGCAAGAAAAGTCGAAAACAAATCGTATCCTTTGCTCTTATATTTTTTGTGTGTAGATGCATCAATTAAGCGTCGATCAAAGCATTGTTCATAAAAATCGATCGAGAAATGACTCAACTAAAATTGGTTGACCAACCCTCCAAAAATCACATTTAACCGTTTCAAATGTTGCTGCAGTCCTATGTTTTTGTCTAAAAGTTAATATTGCAAAGAAGACGCGAGGAGTCGCGGATTACCACTATGAACATTTGAACAAGATTGAATTTTCTACAAGATGCATTAAGTCCTATGCTTCCAAGAGACGTCACTTTTTTGTACGCCTCTTCAAAGACACATTTTTGTCACAAATTTAGACTTGTTAAAAAATGAGTCATTTAACATAATTATGAGCACAATTTTAACAGTTCAAACACATAAACATATATTACATACCTGTCTGAATCGAACCCATTGTAAAGAAATCAATTAAATTAATGAATTTATAACTTTTTAGCACTTTTATAAGACAAAAAACAAATTTTTCCACCAACATTCGCCTATCGATAGTAAACAGCTGACTTTAACAGCTGTTAATTTAACAGTGGCGCGCGCTGTTAACTTTTTTTTTGCATAACATTAAAGATCAATGTTATTCGGATATATCAGGTCAACAAATATATTATTTTAACTACTTTCGAAAAATGAGTTTTGGCCAGAAAAAGTGGTCAAAGTTCCCATAGTGCCCTGCAAGCGCCTGCATGCACAAAACTCGAAGGCGAAGGTACGGCACAGAGAGAACTATGAAGAGAGAGCGCGACTTCTGCCAGCGCGGCTGATCTGTCGCTGATAAATGTGCGCAGGTAGGCGGCAAAGCAAAACCTTTTCTGTATTGCTCTCTCGTTCCCTCTAGTAACAGTGATACGCATGTACGATGTCTGAGGGAATGCAAAAACTGAGACGCGCCGATCGCATGCACTGATTACCGCGTGATCCATGGGTATATTCGACTGTGTGTTAGCCTTACCCTCAACCATGACAGGGTGCATCTTTTTTACTCACATCATTTTAAACGGCGTCTCATAGATCCAATCCTTGCCATGGGCACGTCTCAGCACATTGTCCAGCAAATGCCTCACCGAGTACGAAGTGCTCGTGCATAGACCCGAGATGAGGAGCAATGCCGTCAGCCTGGTGGCCAGCGTGTAGAATCTCTTCTTGTAGCCAAGTTTCCGCTCCGAACGCTGTGCTTCGGTTAAGGTGCGAATCCTTTGAATCAACGCCTTCATTTCGTCCCGGTAATACCAAATGCTGACCATCTTCAGCAGGGAGAGAATGCTCGAGGCCACTGGACACAGGGCATCCAGGGCAGTGGCTATGTCAATGGCTATATAGTGTATGCCGTAGTATGCCTCCGCATAGCAGCCGTAGGCGAGGATGAAAAAGTTGACAAAACTCCACAGGCGAAGCCCCAAAGTGCGCTCCTGTTCCGGATAGAAACCAATCACCGATAGTGCAAATTTGGGCAGCATAAAGTAGTGCCTTTCCATGGGATATGACGAGGTGAAGAATCGACCTAACATCTCTACTGACTGCTTTCACTGCTCCGTGTACACTTTACAGCTCATAAGCCTGGTCCTGCTCGTCCAAAACGGTCTTTTATAGCCTAAAATCACCCAAAAAGGAGGGACTCTTCCTCCTTTCTCCCTTGTGCAGCATAATTGATGAGTTGGGCGTTTTCCTTGCTTCATAGTTCAATAAGTTTCCAGATTGTTAACCCACAATTAGGCCAACGACTTTCGGTGGGGTTAAGGGGTTAAGGGGTTATGCGGCCAGCGGGGGGCGTGTCAAATTGGGCGTGTGCTGGTAATTAAACTTTAGTTTTCGGTAAACGATTTTCAATGACCTTTTGCGGCACGAATTTGATGTTCGTTTTACAGGTACCAACCCAGACCATGCCACTGACACACACTCGAGACACACACAGAGGCGTAGTCGGAGGGGGGACTTCAGATGGGGGAGTCTTTGGGATATATTTTCTTGGATTTTTGATTTAAGAAAGTGTCGCCTCATCGATTATGAGAATTTCAAAACGCTTCAGACAGCTTTTAAATGAAAATTCTCAATATGCATTCTATCCCAGTGTGGCTTAGCACTGTAATTGTAATTTGAAATTTAAAAATAATAGCAGAGAAATGCAGAGATTTTGGTGTAATCTATTTTTTTTATGTTTATTATAAGTATGTGATTTTTTTTATTAAAAAACAATTAATAATCATTATTTACGGTCCCTGGTAATTTTCAATACAAATATTTGGAAAATTTGTTACCAGAAATCCTTAAAATGTACCTTGAATTTCGCATTAAACTTTCACAATATTAAGGACTGTTTTCCCATTGGTTCCCATTTCCCATTTCATTGGTTCTTAATTAGAAATTACTGCAAGATTAATTCCAATATTTGGCCCCTTCCTAAGAAACCCTTGCCCAGTCAAAGAACCCCCCTAACACACTCAACCTAGGGGTTCAACGACGATTTGCAGGGCATAGAAATCGACTCGCCATCAAAGGATATTTCACCAAAAATTTCTGCATACTGCAGGCGCCAGCCAGTCGGCCAGTCAGCCATCCAGCCAGAGGAGTTGGCCAGGCAACTTGCAGTTTGTATAAATATTTTATAAGCTGTCCAACGGTGCTCCCCCTCTCTCTTCACATATGGGTGTATGTGTATGTGTGTGTGTGTGTGTGTGTGTGTGTGATGATTATGCAAACTGCAGTTATTTGGTGTATGCCAGGCAGGCCAATAAATTAATTTAGAGAGAAGGCTGCGCTGCGCTGCGCTGGTTGAATGGTTGAATGAATGAATGAAGTGAGAGCAGTGAGGAAGGTGCAGACAGCACTTGGCGATGGCGTTGAATGTGCCGCCTGCTTGCAACCCTGCCTGCCTGTCGCTAGAAGTTGGTCTAAGCAGGAAGCATGGCCAGAAAGACAAGCGCAGTCAGGCCAAGCCCCAAGCCAAAAAGCCAGGCACCAAAACTGTAGAAGCCTCTCACCTGACGAGCCCGGGACGGACTACGGACGACGGAGACTTCGGTCTCCGGCTCTTTGCATAATTGATGGCTGCAGGTGTATTTGCGCTCAAATGAGGCATGCTAAACACATGCCTTTGACACTTAAATACAGGGGTACACACACACACATTAAAACTTGGGTGGGTCCTGCAGCTGCCACACATACACAAAAATCAACGTCGCAAAACTGTCGTGCTTTTGACTGTAACCCGTACAGCAAATATAAACATAAATATGCATATAAATATTTAAAAAAGTAGAAAACACACACACATGCAGTGTGTAAAAAGTGTGTTCGTGTGTGTGCCTTAAATGTGGGTTACAATTTTAAATGGGTGAAAACTATTTTCAGTTGGTGTTTAGCTTGGATTTTAAATGGGCATTTTACGGGGCAGAGATTTGAGTTTTGAAGGGACCTTAATGCTTATTTAATGCCTTTGCTTAAACTAGCAAAGAATAGCTTTAAAAAGATTTGCTTGAGCTAGCAAAGAATAGCTTTAAAAACATTTAGTTAAATTCAGTATTTTTACTCCACTTTTATTAACATTCCATTGGACTATAACCTGCACTTAATTTCCTGTCTTTCCGTACACCGAATGAAAACTTTTGAATTATCTACATAAACCCCAAGGGAAAAACCTTTAGTCTCTGGGCCCCACTTTGGCTCCCATTTGGTTTGCATTTAAGTGTCGCAAAAATTTCAAAACTGATTTGATCTGATGTATGGATGGGTTGACTTTCTGTCACCTTTTAAATTTTTGTGTTTAACATGTCTAACAACATGCCGCCCACCTATCGAACCCAAAAAGCCTCTCCTAACAAAGCACCCAGGTCCCTTAAACCATTCACTCCCACGCCTACTCCTCTATTGCTGCAAAAAAAAAAAAAGTGTGCCCAAAAAAAGGATCGACGTCCATTCAAATTGAAAAATTTACGTGAAAAACATGCAAATTTATGCCATAAACACAATGAGTTTAATGTGCGAGAGTGGGAGAGGGAAAGAAACAGACACAGAGAGTGAGAGAGAGTGGGGGACAGCAAGAGAGGTAAACTTATGGGCTGACAGTATTCAACCGCATTCAGGGCTACGATTTGTAGGCCACACAACCGACAAAAATTCAACCCAAAAAAAAAAAACAAAAAACACGGTAGAGAAAATATATAAAACACTCCATTTTTTGCTGTTTTTGTTGTGTGGCAAACACAACTACGCTGGCAGCAGGGGCTTTTTTTTCATGCCTCTCTGCTCTGACATTTTATTGACAAAATTATTGAACACGTTTTGACCGTGCCGCAACTGAAATCTAGGTAACGCAGGCGGCAACATAATGGCGGCCGCTGCCCAAAAGCCCACCATTGTGTACCCCCACCCCACTGGGGGTCATGGGGCGGCATGGACGGGGGGGCTGCTATACAGGTAGAGGCGTCGTGGCCGGTCCGCCTGGTCTGGTGTCTGGATGAGTGGGATAATGGACGCGATAATGGTTGTGGCCGCGCGGCGTCGCGCATTGAATTTATATGAATTTATAATTGAAAATTAAACAAGTGGTGAAATTTTTGGTGGTGCATCAATCGCTGATGATTGAATGCTCTTAAAAGTGTTGATTTTAAACGGGGGAAACTCACCTATTTAGCAGCTATTTATTTGAGTCTGTTTTTGGAGGAGTACTTTATGGGGAAGCTGTAAAAAAATTAAGCAAAAAAATGCATTAAGATATCATAGAATTAAAAGCTAAAAAATAGGTTTAAAAAATCAGATTAAGGATTAGGGTAGAAATATATGCATAGATCTTTCCTAAGAGTAGCAGACCAGAACACTAATTTCGCCCTCTCGCAGTGTGGCTTAGCTGGCGGGTGTCAGATTTGTGATTGGACAGGAAGGGTCTCATATCATCTGCAGAGGATTTCTTGAGGAGTTTTTTCTGGATGACTAATGAATGATTAAAAGTAGCTTAAGGCCTAAGTATTAATGGTCTTTGCCTTGATATATAGATATAGCTTATTCCATTAAGCCGAAATATTTTTTGCTTAATTTTGAGTAAATTTCCAATTAGTTTTGGCATGTTATAAATACTTCTAATTCCTTGAGCTTTACTCCACATAAATATCATAAATCATAGCCCCTTCAATCAAAGATATCTAAGCACCTCCAACATGATGCCACATGCACCTTCCACATGTCATTTTCCATCTACCCCCGAAATGAGTTTTGTGTCAGAGAGAGAGAGAGAGGAGGAGAGAGAAAGAAGGAGAGAGATGGAGAGTCCGTATGACAGAGCACGACATGGCATAGCGACATTGAGTGCAGCTTGGTTGCACGTTGCATTTATAATGACAAATGCATTTTTGATAGAAAACCCCATGGAGCGTCAAAATTCTCATTTGTGTATGCGATGCGATGCATAAATATATGCATACACGTATATATGTACATATGTATATGAAGGTAGGTATGTGTATGTATGCATATGAAAATCCCAGCGATAGGTGACTAGTGTTATGTATTTGTGGAGTGGAGTGAAGTGAAGTGTCGTGTACTCCTCTCACACGTATCCGAGTGCTGTATTTGTGGAGCTCTCTCGCTGTTATGGATAGCCTATACCCGTAGCTAATTTGTTTGCCTAAAAGGTAGGGGGTGGGGGTACGGGCTGGCAGTATGGCATAGCGAGTGCCCATGTATTCACATCCATATGCATGTATGTGTGCATGTATATGAAAGCGATATGTCAATTTGGAACACTCCACCGTACACCCACACACCCACACCACCCACACCACCCGCACATCCGCACTGATGTATGGACATGAATAATCATACACTCTGAAAAATATTCTTCAAATAAAGGCAATTGATTGCATTATGAGCTGGCGCTCTCCTTCTCTCTCCCAGTGTGACTCAGTCATGGTTGTATTTTATTTCGAAAGCACTCACGCATTTAACGATTCTCTCTCTATTTGTCACACACTCTCTCTCACAGTGTGGCTTAGCCAAAGTGTGAGTTTTTATGATTTTTTCATAAACTAAAATAAACATTTTCTAACCAAAATATACGAAAAAAATGTCATGATAAAATTATTCCCATTAATTTTAAGGCAAAATCTTGAAGTATTTCCCTTTTTTCTCCCAGTGGATGTCGGAAAAGGTGCACTCTCTTCCTTGGTATTTTTTCCTTAATATATAGAATTTTCCTAGCACTCTCTCCCTCCCTTTTTCAGTGTGGCTTAGCAGTAAAGACTTGGCCAAATTTTTAGCTAATTTCATTCCAAAATGTTAGCCCAATTTTTTCTTGCAAATAACTTAAAGCTAAGAAAATTCTCTGCTATTATAGTTAATCAATTTTCTCTTAGTGTAGGCCATTTTCCATATAAACTTCCCGTATACGCCCTTTCAGGGCATTCCGTCTGCCTTTTGTTCGGCGATAAACTTAATTTGAATAATAAATTACGTTGATATTTAATCAGCGTTGTCCTGCGATAAAATCCAATGGCCCCTAGAGAAGGACATTGATAGA